TGCGTCGAACGTGTCATAGTGAAGATGCCACTGTGCTCTCTCACCGGCCGTTTTCTGGTCTCTCTCCTCTCCAGTCACTGTATCGTCGCCTTTTGCAGACCACAATTGATCTTGATCATCTTATGCTCGTCCGGTGATCACGACAATAGCAATAAAGAGGGTCTTATTGCGGGCGGTTTTCGAGCTTCCCTCTTCTTGAGTAAGTCAACAAGCACACGGCAATTCTTTTTTTGAACTGACCTATGAAGTGTGGTCGCGGGAATTGCCTTTAAAGGGACGATTAAGCATCGGTAATCCACCCAGGATCGAGTCTTGTGTTCAGTTACGATTAGGTTTTTAGTTTTTTTTCTTTGTTCTTTCCATAGGGAATGAAAAATCCAATTAGAGCATGAACTTCATTAAAGTCTTTAAGGCGTTTGCTCTGCTGCATCATCTTTTACAGCAGCTCACAAGAAAACTAGGCCATTCATTTATTAAATGGACCGCTGCGACCACGAGAATCATAGTGAACACATAAAGCATAGGAGGAGAATAACTGTCTTATGATTTCTTTGTATTGTTTATTTCCTGATTTTGCGTCTATGGATCCGCCAAACTTTTGTGTTGCTATCGAGAAGACTTGGTAAAGGTTGTGATGTACGCTGTAGTAAATCATTTGCTCCAATCGCAAAGCTATCGGCTAGCAAATGCACGTTTGTGAGCTGCTGCGTCATTCGCCGCGCGACGCACCGCGTGTGGCGGCGCTGCCCGGGCGATTCTGTTGCACGTGTCCCGGTGTAGCTATAGGAGCGGAGAGAAGTGAACCAGTCTGTAAGTGCCTTAGGAGTAGTGCTTGCTCTGGGAGCAATGAAGCTCGAAAACGCTACCGAATTCGAAAAGTTCACAACAAGACGCGAGTTAAAATGTGGCGAGTCGTCTGGTCAGTATAGGCGTCTATGATCTATTGTTTTTTCGAAAAAATCCTGCCGACACTTTGACCAATTTTTCGAACTAAATTTCTGGTCAGTAAAGGACATCTCCAATCTACAAGGTAACCGCAGTTGATGACTAGGACTAGTGCCTTTCTTTTGCACAGCTTCTCATTTCCATTCTCATAGAACTACGGCAACTATGATAAAAAGAAGAGGTGGACCTCACTCTCGAGTTGAGGTCGATTTTCGGAATTTTTGCTTTCTAGAGATGCGAAGAGGTACCAAAGAGTGATAATTAGAGGCTGCTAGCTTAATTAATCTGCCACGTAGCATCTCGATCAAGATCCATGATCTTTTGGCGTAGCCTGGTCCCCACATGATCCCCACATCTCCTCGCATTACCGAGTAGTAGAGAAAAATTGAGTATTTCTGAATGAATTCAAGCGTGACGTCATCCATATTTTGAAGTCGATTAAGGTGGACTGTGGTCCTTACAACGGTGCTAGGTATCCAGTGATACCGCTTTGAAGTCCCACCAATAACACACTGAAATCTTTATCCCATGCACATCTTCTTTGGCTAAGCAATCTACTTTCTGTTTGAGAGATCCTGCAAGGGATCATGTGCTATTATACCAAGGACTCCACCACTCGCTACTCATCACAAAGTCTCAGTAAAGTTTCGCTTCACTATTTACAAGAAAAGAAAAACCATTCACGTCATTCGGTATGACTTGTCAGACGGGTCCAACTCATGAGGCATCCTTCACAAAAATTTTTTCCGATAACCGAGATTGCGGAGAAGCATGGCAGTTGTCAGTCAGTTGGAGCTTAGAGAGGTTGCCAACTAACGGGTTACGTTCGTGCCGCCCAAGAGCTTAGGAAGGGCGGTCATTCTGTGCTGATGGGCGACCTATACATTGCCTAACTACGAGTTAAATAAGTCCAGCCTAGAAGCGCTGATGCAAAAGCTACCCTCTGCCATGGCAAGCGATATCCTTCCTCAAGACAACGTAGGTGTCAGCTTCCTCGACTACGGCGGAGTGGCCCTAGAGGAACTCATAATATGGGACAGGTCGAGAAGTACTTCGAACTCTCGGGGGACTTTTAAGCTTTGAAAATTTCCACAAAGTCATGATACACCATGTGCAGAAACCCCAGAGGACACTCCACTAATCAGGGATAAAAACATCCAAAATGATTTTTGGTCTTTTTCTAGAACAATTTAATCAAAGTGTCGCAGGACTTTTCGAACAACCTAATATGTGCGTAAAAAAATTCACTGAAGCAGAAGCTATACCATGAGAATCGAAATAATCGTGGTCGCGATGAAAAGTGGGCTGGCTAGCGGTGGTGTCTAAAAGGTGGTGTACGAGAGACATTATGAGCCACTGGCTAGCGGACACGTGCGAAAAAAATGACATTGTCCCAGGCGGCGCTCTCCTGCATGCCCGATTGTCGTCGACGTATTCACATCATCTCCAGATGATAGTCAGCTGCTTCAATCACTTTACCAGATTGAAAAAGAATAATCGAAGATTGGATGTTTAGGGATTTGGGACGTTGAATCCCGGTTCACCTTCACAGAAGAGCCCGGCAACTGTCAAATACGAATGGACAGACAATTGGAGCAGGCCTTCTGGTCAACTGGCGAAGCGACGTTTTCTTGATTTTGCTAAGGAAGCCGTTGTACGATTTTTGAAGCCTCAATCTTCTTCCTTTCTGAGCATTCCAGTGCTTGTATACCTTGGGAGAGCCGCTGCCCACCGAGACCACGTCACGTCATGTCTGCTCATTTGTAGCCTTTCAACAAGAAAAACGTTGTTCATTCGCGTAAGACCAGTACGAGGCTAAACCTCGCTGGGGAGCGGCCCTCCACAGGCACATAGAGGACCGATAGTAATCGAAGTGGTCCTCAACTGTATATTTCAGAAGGAAGCAAGGAAACATTTGGGATGTCCTACTCTGGCTGGCGTTGAGACGGACTCCGCAGAAAAGATACATCTGAACGAGTACATATATGGAGTTGGTGGTTTCTCAGTTTTTTTACTAGTCGAGTAGGGTCACAGACCAATTCTTCATTAGTCAAGTAAGGTCATAGAACAAAAAAAATCGCCCTAACGAGAAACGCTGGGGTTCAGAGGGAAGCTACTTGACGCTTTGACACCGTTGACTCACTCAGAAGCTCGGATTGTTCGGCTTACTGCACCTTTCCGGGACTGCTCAAAAGAGTTAAATATTCACTCTAGTGGGCTGATTTGGCAAGGGTCCAAGGCCGTGGAGCACGTTTCCGAATCGCATCGTTACTTATTGTTTCAGGGGTTCGAATATGGAACTCAAGAATGTAGTCTGCTTTTCTTGCCCCCTCCGGCGTACGCAGGCTCAAGGCCTATGAAGTTTGCAGGACGGGCTCCACATTGGGTCAAGTTGTACGGTTGGTAGCGTGCAATCAGACGAGGCCGTGTCAGGAGAGACGGAATGAGCTCTCTCGCTGGTGCTTTGCTCTACCATTGGTTATCGATTACCGATCGATAACGAAGAAAACAAGAAAAGGTGGGAACGCCACGGGTGGGCCCATTCCAGCCCTGTCAAACCGCCCCGAGTGCTTGCGAGAGTACCAAGTGTGCACTCGAAATCCCTGAGAGGGGTGTAACTGCACACTTCAACTGAACGTCGTGGTGACTATGCTTTCGGAGAGATAATTTCATTTCGTCCCAAATGCGGTCACGGCTCTGTCCAAACAAGATGAGGGTCTCTCGAATTGAAATATCATGCGAGCAGTTCTGTGCCATGTTCGAAACCGTCTCAGGGATAAGGAGTATATGTATTAGCAGAAAGAATCACTGCAAAGTCGTGACGACGATGACGACCGTCATCCGACCAGTTTGAGCTAAGAATTTTTTTGACGTTCTGGGGTTGTAGTGGTCGCTACATCGCTCTTCATAAGGTCATGATTTCCCGTTGGAGCTATTCAGCTAATGCATGTGACTGTGCTCAATAAATTCCTACACTCCCATTAATGCAGTTTTCTCATCTTTTCGTATTGCCAGAATGAACTCATGACCCCGAACCTCTCCAATGTGTCAAATCGATTCTCGTACATCAGTGCGGCGATTCTCGAGGAAACATTTCTCGGTGACAAGTAAGTTTTTTTTCACATGCTAAGCACTGTTTGCTTCATGAATTTGCCGGGGTGATCTGATCAATGGTAAGGATTAAAGGAAAGAACAAAGTTTCAAGCCTTGATCACTGTGTGGGATATGCCGCGAAGCCCCCCTACCCCATCGTAGAAGTCGGTGTGTTGGTGTTGCAGTGAACGTGTCAATTGCCGAATTCCAGACAGAGACTCTAAGGGCAATGGAATACGATTAGCCCCGGTTTAGGCGATCCACCTCGCCTTGCATTTACTCCCTTTATTGTAAATTTTTCTCACCTTAGAATTGTTCCTTTTCTAAATACTCTTTTGGCAAAATTTTCGTTGCTGCCCTTTCGGTGTAAATATGGCAGCTGCTCTCACGACGGAACACGTCCTCTTCAATTGATAATAAGAATTAATGGTTGGTTACAGGTGGTGTCGACTATTGATCCAAGAAGAGTTGATTCTCGCTTGAGAACTTGGTAAATCCAAAGTCGAAGTTGTAAGCAGTCGTAATCACCGAAGTAAGTCGGGGGGTGTTGGTGGCGAGTCGTTTTTGCCTCGGCGCTAATCTGTTTTCCTCGACTCATTGCAGCTTGGGGCTCCAATATAGTGGAAAAGGGCTGCGCAGCGCCAACATCTGCGCCCCGCTGACACAACCCGACTGACGATGGGCACTAAGAAATAGGACTGAAGCAATGTAAACCAAGCTGTGAGAAGATCTGCAGAGTAATGAACGTGATGTAAGAAAGTTCGATTCGTTGAGACCATGGTATCGTGTGAATCGATCAGCAATTCGATGGGAACATGAGGCGCTGTGGTACGGTAGAGAATGGGGTTGCACGTTTGCTGAACACAGCTGCTTCGACTTCATCGCAGAACGTATTAGGTCGGTTTCGTGCAAGTGAAGACTCTTGCTCATGATTCCTATGCCGAGCTATTGCAGAAGGAGGAAATCGACATTCCCTTTCTGTTCGGAAGAGGACTACCATGCAGGAGCAACAAAGGTATCTTGTAGGCTTTTTGTACAGTGAATGAACTGCTACGCATGAGCCCTCCACGTACTCATCACAAGCTTCCTAGCACGCTTTTTACAGCTCAGATTGAAATACTTCGGGTCAAATGTGAGAGTCAGAAGAGCGAAATGTTGGAGCCAAGCTTTGACCTTCAAAGGAGATTGCCGATAACGGAGTTATGGTGATGTCAAACTTCATCTCTTTGTTTCCAAGAGGTCGACTAATTATTACAACCTCAGGCGTATTCTCTTTTGGACACTTTCCTGGAGAAGAGGCAAATCGGATCACCGTCAAAATGGCGATTTTGCCCCATGACTAAGGTATGTGATACTGAGATCTGTACCTGGTACACACATGAAGTTTTCAGATCTTTGTGGAAGATCGATTCGACTTACCACTGGGCACAACGTTGCTCTGAAGGGGCTGGTACTTCAACAGTGGTGATAAGCTGAACATACATACTTTTCACTATTGTTACATGTGATAAAGATGAAATGTTCATCTTTCTGGACGCCATAAAGTGTATGAAAAATTTGCTATGCTCTGATTAACTCTTATAGTTTTAATCGATTAGCTTTTCCGGCTGGGTGTTGATAGAGAAGCAGCCCTTCTCTTTTCTGAACGTTATGACGGTTCATAGACCATAGGAGAAAAGAAGAACTGTGAGGAAGCATTCAGAATTCGCAATAACTCGCGTCGACGCGCTGCCAAGCAATGACGCTGCAATGCTGTAGACGCAACCGTATACGGATATCGAGTGCCGGCAGTTTGCGCTCTAACAAGGGAATGGTTTGAACTTCCCATGGAACTTTGAATGGAGACCTAGGTACATCGATAGAGCCTCGAATGCTGATTACGAATATGCAGATTAAAAGTGCTACGGGGACCTCCCAGACGAGATCTGGGTGGTCAAAGTTTGAGTTCTGGCTCGTAAGCGCTGCTGATCGATGCTTCGGCAGTGCCACCGTGGCCTCGTGGTAATGGTCTCGCTTTCAAGT